TGGTGTKTTACAGGTGTGGTACACCCGGACACAAGTCACCTCAATGTTGGTTGCGCTCGTCGACCTCAGCGGCCGGACAGCCCCAGACATTGTTTCCTCAACAGCGGCCAAGGAATCCACGCTCGTAATTCCCAGCTTTAAGCTATGTTCCAGTTCAACATATCATTGCCTATAACCCTTGAACCTCGTATTAGTAGTGGATATCAAATAATAAAGAATCAGCCCATGTACCTTGAAGGGACATATTATTCAAATACTGTACCCAAGAATTTTCTGTATTACTCTCAATAAACCTTTCTGGGTTTTCTTGTAAATACAAAACTCCTGTACAACGAATATTTAGGTGATGTTGAGGATTTGAATATAACTGATGTCAAATTGCTCGAAAGAAGCAATCACCATCTCCACCTACATCTAAAGGCTGTAAATGATAACGAAGTAATCGTTGTCTTAACAGGGAAATACTTGACAATGGCTGATTAGATAGTACAGCATAATTTGGTTCCTGTGAATATGTGGGTCCTGGATTTGATTCAATATCGCCACATAAAAGCAAATGTTGTTTAATAAAACCATAATAGCTGTGCTTGCATTTTAAAGAAATGCTTGCCTTTGTGCATTTGCCATTATGATAATTAAACCTTTCTTGTTGTGATAACTTTATAAACTTTAGAGTGTCTATAGGTGTGTAAACAGTTTTCTTCACATTTTGGTCACTAGCAGTCACAGATTTGCTCATAGTTTGCTTTGATTGCTTATAAGTTTTGATAAATTTATTATTATGAAAACTACGGTCAGTGTAGTGTACACAAGGACCTGGGTTTTTCTCTATATCACTGTAAAGTCTGTACCTAGAGTAATTACCTCTGTGACTTCCTCCCTTAAACTCATTGTGTAAGAAATAATTACATGAAAACAGCTTTAGCCATGTCCGATATTCCTTATAATTTTTATGTGAATGTTTAATATCTCTATAAATCCTACTGAAGGCTCCAGGTTTCTTTTTGACTTTGTAAATGGCAGGAACCATTGATTTTCGTCGAGTTCTCTTACTCCTGACTTTAGTTCGTATCCTAGTGATAACACGATAAACTTGTGAAGATTTAGGTACGTTTTTAATTGCACGACGCAACACACATCTCTGTACATTTCTGTTCTTCTGAGACAAACGACGTAACATCTTCACTGGTACTCTGCTCGGTTCTCGGTCGCGTTTATTACGATGGCATTCACACACAACACGAGTACAATTATAATATACATACTTTGCATAGCGAGATCTAAAGTTTTGTACTTTTATTGACACTGTAACATCATTACAATTGTTGACATTACAATAATTATCAGTGTTTTCGAGTATATTACAGTCGTCTAAACAATATGAAAAGTAATGAATAATGTAAACAGCCGTCCACGTGCAAAGAAGCGAAACGATAAGAAGAAGTTGAAAACTTACAACAAAGATTACAAAAACCTTGCTGAAATGTTCTTTACAAGTGCTGGCTAACATTAATAATAAATAAATATAAGAAAAAAATAAATATAAGAATCCAGGCACTTACTGCAATAAATGATTTCAAATATTGATTAGTAAAAATGAACAATTTAGGCTCTAGAGTCCTTCGCGAGTTTGTAGCTTCATCCAACATGGCGGTGGTTTTCTTGTTGATCGCTGTTGTTGAATCGTCTTCTTGGAAAGTTGTTCGCTTGTTACTGTGGCTCGTGACTTCAGGTTCATCCAATTTCTTCACTTCAGCATTCATGCAGTCAGTTTTTATGTTAGTCTTTGTAGTTTTGTCAGTGTTGTAATTTTCAGTAATATCAGTTTGCTCATTTGAATCATTTGAGATCTCGCTAATAGGATCGTGGACCGGCCCGTTCCGAAAATTACGCTGAACATCTTTTAGTGTGGGCCTACCACGAACGGCGTGTGCGTTTGTAAGTGAAATCAGCGTTCTAGGGTTGGTATTCTTCATTTTCTTGATCGACCAAAAGGTTGCTTTCCGTCAAAGTGATCAGACCACGAGGCCGACTGCTGACTTTTACACAACAACAATGCGCGGATTGGTTTAGTTTGACATCCCCATGGAAACTGAGACTGCAGAATCTGCAACGTAAAGTCCACTCACTGACTTAAAATTGTCTAATTTTGCTTATTCGCCAGGAAAACCAGAATACCAGAATTATAAGCAAAAATCATAACAAAATCATAGCAAAGGCAAAGCAAATCTATGACTACTAGTGGGAATACTGAGATCAGTCACATGATATACGTGGGCTTTCAACAGAAAAAACTAATAAAGCCTAAATAAAGACTTCGTTTCCCCATATTCATTTCTGACGATGACGAAATTGAAATCTTACCCTGGTTCCTGAGAGGTTTCTCTGTGAAAAATGTCGCGTAGAAGAGAGATATTTTCCACAGAGAAGCCTATGGAACCATGGTATTGAAATCTAAAGTTCTTACCTCTGATGTAGAATTTGAATTTTGCAGAATTATTTCAGTGCTTCTCTTCTATTCGTCGTTAGGCTTGGTAATAAAAATATAAGAACTTAGTAGACATCAATAATAAACAAGCTTTGAGACTTAGACTTATGCTGTTCTTATCGCCGATCGCCCGATATTCTTCTACATCGGAGCACTTATTAGCTTATAAGTTAAGTTATTCGTTTCCAATATGCAAGGCGGTTTTATAGTAAATTTTTCTACTTTGATAGCTTACCTGAAGGCCCAATGCGGATATTCACAACCATTTCCTTAAGATCTTGTTTTCTACGTAAAGCTTAAAACTTCGGCCGAAGTTCATCAACAACAATTTAAGAGGCAGTCTCTGTAAAAGCGGTCTACTGCATTTCGGGTCAGAAAAKAAATTTCTCTCAAACTCCTACCATCAAAAGGCAATTATAAATATGTAATCACAGTGGCTTTCTTTTTTCGAARTTCGTCAAAATAATTTTTTTACGCCCCATAATCTCAAGACCACCTTCGTCACCTAATTTGCATTGTTCGTCAATTGAAAATTGCACAAATTCAAACTGKCATAGYTCGTAACATATGAAACTCTGGAACAAATT